GTGTTTCCTACCAATTTATCCACATACATCCAGATAAATTACCGTATACAAACTACTAGAAGTAGCTTAAAAATTCAGCTCTGGTAATAACAGTTGACAGGGAAAGTCAGAATTAAATTCCCTCTCAATAGCTCCTTCTCAACTGACACACTGGTCCTTCAGCCTTAGTGATGGATTGCCTAAAATCTCCCTAAATTGATGGATTGCCTGAAATCTCCTTAGCTGATACAAGACTTGTGAAGAACTCTCACCTCTGACGTTTCTTAGAGAAACTTAAGGCATTATCAGTATCAATTCAACATAATGGGCAGAACTGGGAAACTTTACAACCCGACTGTCCAAGTTCGGAGGCAATTCTTTCAAATCTACTTACACGATAGAATAAGATAAGCAGCATAAACACGATAGATGGTTAGTTAATTCTGCCAGGCAGATGCGGCCGCTTCTGCCAGGTCTCCATGCACATTCAAAACAGCTTTTTTTTATGTCAATGAAAGAAAGGAGGGAAAGCCAGCAGAGTCGAACTCTGTTTGGGTGATGCCAAATCGCCTCACTCTTAGCACAGCACTCCACAAATGCTCAGAGGCACTCTTGCCCTAGGGAAAGCGCATGAAGGATGGAGAGGGGGGCAGCCTGAGGCTGAACTTTTGAGAAAGCCCTCTGCCTATGCTCAGAGGACATCCTCATCTTCCCCACCTAGGGGACCGGGAGGCCGCTCCCTTTGTCCAGCCTGGCCGTAGCCCGCACGCCAGTATTGGTGAACCGGGCAGTCCCCAGACGGCCACTGAAGATCTGGGAAGCATCCGGCCCAAAAGCATCCCGTCCCCTCTCACTCCACTTAGCCACTTCTTTCCCATCACTGTTACCACCGCAATCCCCCCACCCGGTCCTGGCCACCTACCTTCGTTGGCCAGGTCCGCCATTTTACTTCCTTAATCACTCCCACAATACACTGCGCCAACGACGGGCAAAGCCGCTCTGCCCGGTCTATGCGCGCTCGCGTTAGGAGCAACAGGGGACGCCAAGAGGCATGCGCAAAACGAGGGGGCAAGGAGACCGCTTGTAAAAGACAAAAAGGGAGTAGGATTAAAAAGGGGGAGGGGCTAACAGTAAGACCCGTTGCGCATGTGCGTCTTTGCTAAACGTTAAAATCTTAATTCAAAAGGCTCCACCCACGGACGGTCTTGCGGGTTCAGCAGAGGATTTAGGCATGGACGTAGTCGGGCGAAGGACGAGAGAGAGAGAGAGAGAGAGAGAGAGAGAGCGCGGGGCGGCTCATGCACAGGTACGCATGCGCACTGTTTGTTTCCACCCCTGTTATCAGTATCCCGTAAAACTCGAACACCCGGTGGGAAGAGCGCATGCGTATGGGAGAACGTTCCGTCACAGAAGAGGCCGCTCCAATGGGCAAAAGGCGCAACTGTTGTACTGCTCTTTATTTTAAATAGAGCACATGGTCGGGTCGTGCCAACTGCTGCATTTGCTAATAATCTTAGCGAATTAAACAATTCGCTAACAATGATTTATATCTATATTACTATGTTATTTTATTTATATATACAGATATAATTATATGTACAAAATATATGCATGTTTATTAATATCATTTCTATGATTTGTAATACATTTTAATATTAATTGAACAAAGGAATGGTGGCATACGTGTTCAATAAAAATATTTTACCCCTGATGTAACAAATTATAATAGTATAATTATATTATGCTAAATAATAATTGTAATCCACCCTCGGGGAAAAATAAAGGGAAGCATATGTTTAAAATATATACCTTATATAAATAGTACAATCACAAGCAGTTAACAGCAACAATGCAATAAATATGAGCTAATGAAAGATATATTTTTGCTTGTGTCTTCAGTATGCTCCGGTAATAATGGAATTAATTATTAATTAATTATTAAAGTGACAAATTATTAGAGCAACATAATTGATACTATCATTTTCATTTTATTAATCATTTATTTATTATATTTTTCTCATTTTCAATTCAGGAACTGAAGGTGACCTATTTATATATTACTTTCTTCTATTTTTCCCCACAACTGCAACTTGTGACAATTGGTCAAGAGAGGAATTGGTCTTAAGTCATTCAGTGAGCTTCCATGTCTGAAACTGGATTAGGTTTTTCCTTTTCCAATCCAATACCTTAATAGCTGTAGCACACTATAATATTTGTGTTATTTAGGTTTTAATTTTTATGCTTTCATTATTCTGTAGTGTATTCACATGCAGCACAAGAGAGAAAATAACAGAGGAGAGGACACCAGTATCTGTTCAATTAATTTCTATCTTTCCTCTCTGTCAGAGAATGACAGTCCTACACAAGAATAAAACAAGATGGCATTTTGTACTGGGCTTTATAATCTCAAAATTATTACTAAAATTCACTGTTGTTGTGGCCATAATGTCAAAACTGAAAACAAAACAGTTTACTTTGAGAAAGGATTTTTCATAGATCTGATCAGTATTCAAAGTATTAAGACATGATGACAACCAATGAGAATTCCCTAGGAACATAGGAAGACACTGTTGTCCAATTACCTCCTGTCAGACTGAGAGCAACCTTCCAAAGCTGCCGACAGATTTTTGATATCTGTAGGAGTGGACAGACTGCAAAAAGCAGCCTACTCACTGTGTCCCAGAATATCCACGTTATCCTCCTCTCCTCCAACATAACCTTGCTTATCCTGCTCCTGGCTATCTGAGCTGGGGCATCTGCCCACATGGGCTCCCTCTATGATGGCAATGGTTGACCTTTACCTTCACAAAGGAGTGGAGTCATGAAGGAAGGGGAGGTGGGATTGATGACATCATGCCTTCTTCTGGGTCACTGCACACTTTCACAGCCTTGGTGTTGTTTTAACAAAGCACAGAGAATCTTGTCTTTTCTTCTTCTCAAAAGGGCACAAGACATGAAGAAACCTTATCACATCAGCCAAGTCACTTCGCTCTCATCACAATGAGCTAAAACAGGCTTCTCAAAACTGGGGGTTTCCACATGTAGCCTTCCAGAATGTCATGTCAGTTTGTTTTCTGGGTTTTCTGAATTACAGGCCCAATAGATCTGACGGGAACCAGGTCTGAAATAGAATAATCTATGTACAATAAAGTTTCTCTGTTGACTGTGCTGGTGCTAGGTCCGTATTACCTATATCCCTGATAAGCATCAACTATATAATTGGTTATGGTTGTCATTTTTGTGTTTTGTTAGCTGTGTTATATAAGCTGACTAGAGTTACAGGTAGTCCCCGACTTAACGAACATTAATTTAGTGACCCTTCAAAGTTACAACGGCTTTGAAAAAAAAGTGACATGTCCGTTTTTCACACTTATGACCATTGCAGCATTCCCATGGTCACGTGATCAAAATTTGGGCACTTGACAACTGGCATGCATTTATGATGGTTGCAGTATCCCGTGATCCCCTTTGCCACCTGACAAGCAAAATCAATGGAGAAGCCAGATTCACTTAGCAATCATGTTACTAATTCAATAACTGCAAATTTAATAAAATGAAATGAAAATACAATGATTAACAGTGGCAAGAAAGGTCATAAAATAGAGCAAAGCTCACTTAACAACGGCCTTGCATAACAGAAATTTTGGGCTCAATTGAGGTCATAAATCAAGGACTACCTCTACTCAAGTGACTTGAGGCAGTATATACAGGTAGTTCTTGACTTCCAACAGCTCATTTAGTGCCAATTCAAAGTTACAACAGCACTGGAAAAAGTCACTTATGACCATTTTTCACACTTATGATTGTTGCAGCATCCCCATTATAAAGTGATCAAAATTAAAATGCTTGGCAACTGATTCGTATTTATGACGGTTGCAGTGTCCTGAGATCATATGATCTCCTTTTGCGATCTTCTGACAAGCAAAGTTAACGAGGAAGCCAGATTCACTTAACAAACATATTACTAACTTAACTGCAGTGATTCATTTAACAAGTGTGACAAGAAAAGTTGTAAAATGGGGGCAAAGCTCACTTAACTGTCTTCCTTAGCAACAAGAATTTTGGGTTCAATTGTGGTTGTAAATTGAGGATTACCTGTATCTGTTTTGTTGAAAAATTTAATAACTTGCTTGGTGTAGTAGATAAAAGTGCCAAGACACCGAAAGAGGGAGAAGGAGGAGGAGGAGGAGGAGAAGAAGATTTATGCATGTAGAAAATAATATATTAATTGGAACAGCTTTCCCCAAACTATTAGTTTACTACCAATAATTCTAAACTGAATATGTAAGGGGGAAAAAAAGCCTAGCTTGTAAAAAATATCTTACAATCTTTCCATCTTGTGCTTCTGAGATCTATTGGATGGCAACTGTCATCATGCCTGAAGGGAAGATAATGGGAATTGTAGTGCATTTTTATTGGAAATTATGGAGTTATAACTCTCACCATCATTTGAGGTCTGCTTTGTAAATATGGCGGGGGTGGGGATGGGGAGAGCTAAAAAGCCTGGAAGTATTGACAGGACATATATACATACTCTTTGTGTGAGTGTCTGTGGTGATGTGTAGAGCAAAAACACTTTTCTATGTATTTGAATAATGATGGCGCCATGGAAATGCTCCATAACTGTATTATTTTCCTTTTGAATCCCTCTTCCTTTGCCTTCCTGCAATCTTTTGTGGTTTTGGAAATGTTAGACATAGGTATAAATGATGATGTATTTTGGAAACCTACCCAAAGAAATGCCATATAGGGTAGAGCAATGTTTATCCACCTCAGCAACTGTATGGACTAACAACTGCTAGCATGGTGGCTGGGGAATTCTGGGAGTTGAAGTCTTCCCACAAGCTAAAAGTGGCTCAGACTGGGAAACGCTGGAGTAGAGTATCGACGGTATCGCTCTAGCCACTACCTCTATAAGCTCTGGGAGAAAGCATCCTAGGTTTCCACGGTAACCGGTTGAACTGACCCTGGAAGTGATATTAATTACTTCCGGAGGCCACCACACAACTTCTGCAATGAAACTGGCGGGCTTTCGGCTGAGGTATTTTGGCGCCCCTGGACTGACTCCTTTTTCCTCTCGCCCTGCGAGCCGCTGGCGAGAGGCAAGCAGGACGGCTTGGGAACCCGGAGGGGATGCCTTGCCCCCCCTAAGGAGGGAAGTGAGGCGGCTGCGGTTAGTTGCCACTCTCGCTGCTCCTTCCGCCGCTCCCGCCACCTTTTTTCTCCATCCAGGAGCGACATTTGTGCCCCGCCGTGAAACTGATGGTCGTCCGCGATTGAAAGCAGGTGGGGAAATACGAAGGCGGACGTAAGGACAAAGGGAGAAGCTCCGTGGCACAACGAATCTCAATGGACGGGATAACTCGAAGTAGATGGGGGCAGCCTTAAGAGGAAGACCGGGCAGGAGAGCCTTGTGAACGGGAAAGAATCTGCTGGAAACTGGACTCACGGTGAATTTGAGGAAAAACAGGTGGGATAGCCGTAAAAAGAAAGGAGGGAGGGATCCCAGGACGTAAATTGGTCAGAACAGGTAAAATAGCAATGCCCGCCCCACCACAGCAATCACATGATCCTCTACAACTCAAGAATGACCTAAGAAAAAACTGCATCAGAAGCCAGGGCTATACAGGTAGTCCTCAAATTACAACAGTTTGTTTAGTGACCATTCAATGCACTGAAAAAAGTGACTTATGACCATTGTCCACAGTTACCACCTCTGCAGCATCCCCACAATCATGTGATCAAAATTCAGATGCTTGGCAAAACTGGTTTATATTTATGACCATTGCTGTGTTCCGGGGTCATGTGATCAGCTTTTGCAACCTTCTGACAATTGGGGAAAGCCAGATTCACTTAACAACCGGGTTACTTATTTATCCACTGCAGTGATTCACTTAACAACTGTGGCAAGAAAAGTCGTAAAGTGGGGCAGAACTCACTTTACAGATGTCTCACTTAACAGAAGTGTTGGGCTCAATTGTGATTGTAAATCGAGGACTGCCTGTATTGAATTGGAGCATGGGTTCTTTTGAAGGTGGTAGCAGGTGGAGTGTCCCAAAAGGAGCATCAGTCCGGCCTGAGGAGAAACGGGTGGACAAGATAATTTCACCAGAAATGAGTGAATGATTGGAGCAACTCAAGGCAGAAAGACGAGTGGGAACCCTTTAGAGACTTCAGTACTCCAAGCCAATTAGATTTAGAACAGATCCATGACGGAGATATGAATGAGTATAGAGCAGAAACAAAATGACCATCGGCCTGATCAGACATGAAAGCTGAAAGAGAGCAATTCAGTAGCAGAATTCTGAAGAATACCCACAAAACTGAAATAATTCAGCATTTCTTGAGACAACATTTGGACACTATTGGTTCCATTACAGAAGTGAGTTCAAATAGCACTGGAGCTATGCGGATATCCCATGAACAGGTGACATTATCAATGAATGCAACAATGTAACATCTTGAAGAACAAAAAGAGATACCAGCATCTACTGCTAAATTTGCTCCCACTACTCTGAATGATTAAAAAAAGGCCAAGACTGTTGAGATAAATACTGGCATCATTAGCCAAACTCAAAATAACTGAAAGACTTCATGATAGTGGCTTCAAGATGAAGCTGGTAGAAGCAGCCATGGAAAAGAAAGAAATACTGAGCTCATGAAGCTGCCAGAATGGGCCACCTACTACATTGGCAGCATGAATTGGAAGATAATCTTGCTGCATCATTTGCAGATCTTAGGTTCCAGAAGTTTGTTGCTTAAATCTATAGTATTCAGCCTGATTGGTCAAAGTACCAATGAAATGGTACTTTACAGAAAACAGTGTAAGATACTTTAAAGAGATCATGGAGAAATTCTTGAGGTTGATCAAAACCAAAATGAAACTGTTTCCCTGAAAGTCCCACTTAGGCACATTCACTACTGCTACCTACAAGCTGATATGGAGAAAAGTCTCTTGGAGTCTGGTATTGGTGCCCTGTCCCAAGGGCAAAATACAGGTAAGACCTTTTCTACTGCCAAAGGCTTGTTTCCATAGAATCTTGAGCTCTGGCAAGCATCCCAAAATTTCTCTTATTTTCTTAACTGTTCAAGTGTACTGTGTCGTACTGAGTTGCATTTTGAGAACAATATACTTTAAAAGGGGTAAGAATGGAGTGCTATTTTAATTTTATAATATGTATTTGCTATCCCTAGCACCACCATCATCACCAGTTTAAATAAAAAGGAAGCAATTGATTCTACAAAACTAGGGTGACTGAAGTTTCAAGACTTGTTTTTCCCTTTTAATAAGAGATAGTACTGGCAGAATTTGCCTGTCTCAGGCAAAATGTATTCCTCAGAATGCTGATTCTTAGACAGGATGCCTTAATAGTGATACCTTTCTGATTAGTATCTGCTTCCAACTTTTGATAACTCTGGATATGAGAGCTAGAACTCCTATTCTCTTTGTTGCTATAATTGAAGATCCTGCACACTTCATGGAAATAGCTGAAGAGTTTCATGCAGCTCTTCCTCAGTGAAATGTGTAAGCTCTGTTGAAATTTTAGATAATAATCTTAAAGCCCAGTGGACTAAATATGATTTGATTTAAAGCTGAGGATTATGTAGTTGAACTCTATATTTAATTTCATTGTACACGTTGTGCATTGACAATAAAGGTTTGTTTGTTTGATTGATATCCCATAAAATTTTGTAAACAATAGGGTTTTTTCCCTTGTTACTTTAGCTAAAGTATTTTAGTTACTTTAGTTTACTTTAGTATACAGACTTCTGTTTTGGTGGAGACTAGAACAGCTAAGTTTTCCTCTTTTGGTAGAGCCCTTCTCCTTAATACTGATAAATTCAAATGTCATTGATAAAATCACCCTTTACCAAAAACAGGCCAGTTGGTGTAGGCTAGAAACCAGGAGACTGTTCTTGTTTTGCTTTGCGCACAAAGCCAGCTCTGTGACCTTGGGCCAGTCATTATCATTCAGCTCTAAGAAGAAGGAACTGACAAACCACTTCTGAAGATGTTGCCAAGAAACATTCAAGGACTTATCTAGAGGCCTTTACTAAAAACAATAACTTGACTTGCAAGCAGCTCATAATCATTTTTTACTGGAATGGTTGAAGAACTTCTACACTTTTGCAGCTTATAGGAAAGATACCAAAAATAAATTTTGGGGTTAAAATAGAGAAGTCACTGAGAGAAACATCTTTTGATTAGCAGTACTGTCACATTTATTTTTTCCTCTGCTCCCTCCCTCCCTTTTCTCTGACTCAAATCTGCCAGAATGGAGCCTTCATAGAACCATTTTAATGAATTTATGACATCTTTGGGTATAATCTCTTCCTCCTATTAGTTGCTTTTTTTATATCTTCAGAGGAGTGGGTAGGATTTTCAATTTAAGATGCCAGATGCAGTTTTGTTAGAAAGCCAACAAAGTTTTGGAAAGTTTTGTTGGTCTAGTGCCATGATGGTGAACCTATGGCACGGGTGCCACAGGTGGCACATGGAGCCATATCTGTGGGCACGCGAGCATTGCCCTACCTCAGTCCAGCACGCATGTGCGCTCTGGCCAGCTGATTTTCAGGCCTTTTGGGCCCACCGGAAGTCAGGAAACGGGCTGTTTCCAGGCCTCCGGAGGGCCTCCAGGGGGTGGGTGGGTTGGGAAGGCCGTTTTTGCCCTCCCCAGACTCCTAGAAAGCCTCTGGAGCCTGGGGAGGGCAAAAAAATGGGCCTACCGGGCCCTCCGGGCCATCACGTGCCAAAAGTTGGGGGGGCCCCGCGTGCATGCGTGGGGGGATGGGGTGCATTGAATTATGGGTGTGGGCACACATGCACGCAATCCCCCCCTCCGCCCGCTTTTGGCACGCGACGGCAAAAAGGTTAGCCATCACTGGTCTAGTGATTAAGGCACCTGGCTAGAAACCGGGAGACTATGAGTTCTAATCCCATTTTAGGCATGAAAAACTGCTGTGTGATTTGGGACCAGTTGTGCTCTTTCAGCCTACAGTGTTAGGCTTTGGTGACAAGGTGGTTGGTTCATTCCTGTTGCAGCCAATGGATCAACACTTGGTTGATCTGCAAAAAAGCAAACTATGCACTTGCAGAAAAAATGTGAGGAAGAAAAAAAATGCAGTTTTGTTCCTAAACAATATTTGATGACTCAAAGTGGGATGGTTGTAAGGGATCAGCATCTTGGTAATATATACAGAACGAAGCTGGTTCCAATTGTTAATACACTTCTGGGTGAGATTCTATAAGTGGGAAAACATTTTCCTCCACTTGCCACCCTTTTGTGTTCCTTTGTTAATTTTCTACAGTTGAATAAATCTTGGTTTGATTTTAAAAGCTGTGTTTGGATGAATCCTTGACTGGTCAGTGGTTGAAGTCACATTAATACCTTTGGCTCTGTTTCGGATGTTTGAAGGGCTTCTATCTCAGTCATCATAGTCTTCTTTTTAGACTTTTTAAAAATGTCCTGGCTGGGAGAGAATAGCATCTGAAGGCCACTTGCAAGTTCATTCATCCATCCACTTAGCAAAAATGAGATTTAAGTGGGGGAATCAGAGAGGAAACCTCATACATATGTAATAAAACTGTCACCTGCTTAGTGAATTTTCAGGTATTTAATAATGTGGTTTACTTTTACTGCAGTACTGAACTTTGACCTACCACATTTCAGAGCTACTTCTGCCCAAAATATTATTCGGTTCACCAAATAAAAGGATGGAGTTTTTTAAGAAGATAATCTAGTCACTGTACTACAGCACTTTTCAGTTTTAATTGTGTTTTGCATTTTATGTTCAGATGTTCAGAGATATCAGAGAGAAATAACATTTTTGTCTTTTAAAAAGGTAAACATCACTGAAGTTGAACTCATCTCCTATTACTAAATGCAGACATCCATGTAGTTTTGGGCAACAATATTAAATAGTTTTTTTCCCCCAGCTTTCCACTCTATTCTATAGGTTGGGGATTTCCTAGTGGAAAGGAAAGGAAATCTACTATATGCTTATACTGGCTTATATAAATTGCAGTGAATTCAGTGCACCCTCCTGGGTCTGTCTGCTTAGGTTATGAGGCTCCTTATTTGAGAAGTTGGCGTGTGGGGAATGGCTTATCTACTTACAGAATAATAAGAATAACAAAGTTGGAAGGGACCTTGAAGATCTAGTCCAACCCACTGCTCAGGCAGGAAACACGTTACCATTTTAGACAAATGGTTGTCAAATCTCTTCTTATTTGGGAATACTTTACTTTTTTGGGAGTAAACTATTTTTTACTACTTTTGGGAGTAAATAAGTAGTTTACTTATTTGCGAGTAGTTTACTTTTTACAACTATTGTAATCGGCTGCATTAAAAAGTGCTGTTTAGGGCATACATTTATATTTTTTATTATATTTATATGCTGCTCTGATCAAGAAATTCTTTGAAAGGCCCTTTAAACGTGAGACATGGTTGTCCAACATGCAGAGAAGAATATGGTGGGGTAGAATGTTGGACCAGGAGTTGCAAAACCTGACTTCGTGTTCCCACTTTATTTCATGGAGTTTATTGAGTGGCAGTCACATAACCTTTAAACCCAATTTACCTCTTAGGGTGGCTGCTGCCGGTGTAAAATAAAGGCAGAAATCACACATACCACCTTGAGAAAAGGCATGCAGTAAATAAACCCTAGATATGCTAAAAGGCATAGTTACAGTGGCACTGAAAAATATGGCTTATGATCGTTTTTCATAGTTGCCACCTTTGAAGCATCCCCATGGTCATGTGATCAAAATTCAGATGTTTGGTTCATACTTATGACTGTTGCTGCATCCCGGGGTCATGTGATCACATTTTGCAACCTTCTGATGAGCAAAGTCAATGGGGAAGCCAGATTCATTTAACAACCGACTTACTAATTTACCAACTGCAATGCTTCACTTAACAACTATGTCAAGAAAAGTCATAAAATGGGGAAAAACTCACTTAACAAATATCTTACATAACAACAGAAATTTTGGGTTCATTTGTGGTCATAAATCGAGGACTACCTGTATTGACTTTTATTTCTAACTCAGTTATCTTGAAGGAAAACAGAAGAAGTTGATGCATGACCTGAAGTTGGCATCGCTAGTGGAATATTCATATTTATTTTCATCTTCAAGTGTCCTTGTTATAACCCAATTTGTTTTCTGTGGGGGCACAGAACTTTTATTTGTGGGCTTGGGGACCAATCACCATCCAACAGGAAATCCAGTTGATCAAACTCACAAAGAAATAGAAGTAGTTCTCAAATTACAACCACAAGTGAGCCCCAAATTTATGTTGCTAAGTGAAACACTTGTTAAGTGAACTTTGCCCCGTTTTACGACTTTTCTTGCCACATTTATTAAGTGAATCACTGCAGTTCTTAAATTAGTAACACGGTGGTTACGTGAATCTGGCTTCCCCGTTGACGTCTCCGTCAGAAGTTTGCAAAAGGGGATCACATGACCCCAGGACACTGCATCCGTCATAAATATGAGCCACTTGCCAAGCATCTGAATTCTGATCATGTGGCCATGGGGATATTGCAATGGTCATAAGTGTGAAAAACGGTCATAAGTCACTATTTTCACTGCCATTGTTATTTTGAACGGTCACTAAATGAACTGTTGTAAGTCAAGGACTTAGTCAGGGCTGTGCAAACCATGATCAATGATCCCCTCAAAGAAAAAGCTTTCGACAGTGTTTCGCAGTGTTCAAGCCAACAGTGTGGCTTGCTTGGCCAGGCTTGTGAATTCGTAGCTTACAATCTAGTGTGTTAGGTAAACCTAGCTGTGATTTATTTGATGTGTTGTGAACCAACCCAAATGTAGCTTATCCAGCAGGCCTCAGGGAAGCAAACATGCCATAAAGAGCCATGTGTAGGTGCTGGGGAAGGTCCTTTCACCTGCAGCCTTGAGCTTTGGGGGAGATTTACTATCCTCCACAGCTGGTGTGAAAAATGAATGGGCTAATGCCAAAGGAGAGAGAAAGTGCCA